CTCTGACTCCAGAGTGATAACTAAATGTACCTATCAGAAACATAACTAATTATATCTGTCTGTCTGTCTGTCTATCTATCCTAGCACCTACCTAGGAGGGTGCTACATGAAAGCAGCAAATTACTAATACACAGGCAAGCTACATCTAGTGAGCTTTATGCTTTTGCTTTTTTGCCATCAAAACCTGGAATTGAGATACATATACTGCCATTGTTACTTGCAGTTAATCTGACACAAGTTAATGTTTCCACTTTGATTTCAGGTTCAATAATGTGATGTTAATTAGATTATTAATTGTATTCTGTTCTAACATACTTTTTTAATATTCAGAAATATAGTCTCATGCCCGAGGGCCCGGGGTCAGTAGGGGGCCCCTTGATCATTTGGTTCCTATACCCCCTAATGATGGATACCCAGGTCTACTCCTTCTCCTTTCTGAACAAACCTAAAAAATAAAAATTTTTGTTGCAGTTGGGCTTTAACTGGTATTTTTTTTATCTTTTTCAGAATATTTCTAGCAAATTTAGATATCTTTAAAGTTTGTAATTCTAAATGTTAATAATTAACATGCAGATATCAAGCAGATGGCCTTTCCCATGAGAGTCAGTATCGTGCTGCTAGCTCATTGTGAACGCTGACCTCCATCTGTGCGTCTAGTGTGCATTTTCTTTGCTGAGACTACAGACATGTCAACACATGTAACACGTTTAGTGATCATCTTCAGTGTCTGGATGTTGACAAATGCTATGTACTATCATTCTGCAGAAAAAGAGGAGAAATGCGTCATAGAAGATCTCCCTGCTGAAATGCTGGTCACAGGTAAGAAGTTGCTACTGCCTCCATTCACAAAGCGTTAAAGAATATCTAAAGGCACAACTATTATTTTTAGTTTTAAATAGAGTTGGGAATTATTAATACTTTGTGTTTTTTTTTTTTTTGCTGTCCTGTTTGGGCTATATTCCTTCTCTTCCTGTTTATTCTGTCCTAGAGCAACATTGGGAAGTGCAGAGGTGGTGGACACTTTTTGAGCAGCTACGCAAGGGCTCTCCAAGAATTAGGGGCCCATTTATACAATGTAGTAGATGTAGGATGTTTGTGTAGATGTTTGCCAGGACCCCTGCCACTGTCATGTATACCTGGACCTGTCGCATGGCTCACCAGATGTTAATGGGTGCAGTATTTTCCTTGGAGAGTATAAAAAACTGAATTCACACAGGAGCCCTATGGTGACTTTGTGCACCACTGAGGAGTTGAGAAGAAATTTCTCCAAAGTCTAGGGAAATCTCCATTTAGACAGCTGCCCTTTCCCATTAGAAGATGTTCCCTAAACTCCTGCTCTGGTGACAGTTGTAAAAGTTTTGGATTTTAGATCACTACATGATTCACAAAATAAAGAAGGTGAATCTCTCCTGTGGGAACACAGACAGAAGCAGGGGCGGACTGACCATTTGGAAACTCAGGCACTGCCCGGGGTCAGTAGGGGGCCCCATGAGATGCCCCTGGTACCTTTTTCATAGGCTTTTTTGAGCTTGGGCAAGGACACAGGGACCCCATGATCCCCTGTTGCCCGGGGCCCCATGAGTTGTCAGTCTGCCCCTGGACAGAAGTAAAAATAGCATAGTACAGTGGCTAAGCTGTTAGAACTTCTGCCTGGAAGCACTTCTGCCTGGAAGCACTAGGCCTAATGGTTCAAATCCCAATCATGGCACAACCTGTACAGAGTTTGCATGTTTCCCCTGTGCCTGCATGGATTTCCTCTAGGTGCTCCGGTTACCTGCTACATTCCAAAAACATGCTGGTAGGTTAAATGGCCCTAGTATGTGTATGTATAAATGTGAGTTAGGGGCTTTAGATGATAAGCTCCTCGAGGGCAGGGACAAATGTGAATGTACAATATATTTGTAAAGTGCTGCATAAATTGTCAACGCTATACTGTATAAGTACCTATATTTATATGGGTTTCAACCAGGGGCGGACTGACCATTTGGAAACTCGGGCACTGCCCGAGGGCCCGGGGCCAGTAGGGGGCCCCATGAGATGCCCCTGGTACCTTTTTCATAGGCTTTTTTGAGTTTGGGCAAGGACACAGGGGCCCCATGATCCCCTATTGCCCGGGGCCCCATGAGTTGTCAGTCCGCCCCTGGTTTCAACAATTCCTAACTCTTTCCAAAATTGGAAAAAAAGTATAAAAAATAACTCAGTGTACAGTATGCCTCCCAGAGTTATTTTGTGAATGACAAAAATGTATTTATTTATTATAGGTACTTATATAGTACCATCAATTTACATATACAGTATATTGCACATTCACATCAGTGCCTGCCCTCAACAAGCTCACAATCTAAAGTCCCTAACTGACATACATATATTAGAGCCAATTTAGACAGGAGGAAATAAACCTACCCATGCCTTTGGAGTGTGGGAGGAAACCAGAGTACCCAGAGGAAACCCATGTAGGTACAGGGAGAACATGCAAACTCTAAACAGGTAGTGTCATGGCTAGGATTTGAAATGGTGACCCTGGTGCTGCTGGGCAGGCATACTACCCACTTAGCCACTGTGCTACCCAAAAGGCAGCCTTGTCATGTATCACATAGTTACAGAATAACTTAAAGGATAAGTTCACCTTTTTTTTTTCAGAATTTCAGCTCCCCTATTCAATATAGCATTAAACTTCTTTTTTCAAAAGCTCCCCCTTTATGTCAGTGTCCAGATGGCTGTCCAAAAAGCTCTCTATTACTTCTGCCTTACTCCCGGGAGAGACTTTAGGTCACGACACAGGAAGGAGTTGACCATCTGACCTCATTAGCACATACCCTGCATCATCTACCCTCCTACCTCCCACCAACTTCCAGGTGCATGACTATTAAATGAAAACCAATCAATCAGTGATCACTGTTCTAACTAAACACACAGACATCGATTTTTATTTTTCTACCTTAAAGTGTTACTTACTCACTAAACCCAGGACCCTGCATTCACTATATCTGGTCTCCCAGGACCCTGCATTCACTATATCTGGTCTCCCAGGACCCTGCATTCACTATATCTGGTCTCCCAGGACCCTGCATTCACTATATCTGGTCTCCCAGGACCCTGCATTCACTATATCTGGTCTCCCCAGGACCCTGCATTCACTATATCTGGTCTCCCCAGGACCCTGCATTCACTATATCTGGTCTCCCAGGACCCTGCATTCCCTATATCTGGTCTCCCACAGTACACAGAACATGGAAATGCAATTATTTTAGTGAATATAAACTGCTGAATACCTTTTCTCAACAGCAGTTAGAGCAGTCTTGTGACTTCTATCAGTGTCCAGCAAAGCACATGTTAAAGCTTGTAGGAGGAGTTTTCATTTTGCTCTAGTAGGATGCAGAACCCCTGATCTCTGTCTGGACAGTGCCGATTGGCCCTGTGCCGAACACATGCACTCTCCCAAGAAAAAAAAAAAACCTCAAGCAATACTCACCAAACTGAGCATGTGCAGCGTGGCTCCACATGATATGTCTTATCGGGAGATAAGAGGGAAACACTGGAAGAAGGGGAGGATCAGAGAAGACAGGATCAAACAGCTTTTTCACACAATGCAGAGAATTAACCCCTTAGGTTCCACAGTGAGTATAACAAGCATGCTTTACTGCATATACAGACTGATTTTACTCTTGTGGGTTTAGCAACACTTTAAATTCATCTTGTTTAGATCATTTGTTTGGCATAGTGTGCTGAGTGAAACAGATAACAGCCTATGTGGATAGAGCTGTAGTACTGAAAACAGGAGAATTGTGTTCTGGGTTCTGTAAATCTCACCATACACTATACAATCTGATTGTACAATCTGCTTTAGATTTACCATCAACTATGTAGCGCAAGGGCCTGTCTAATTGGATACAGAGTAATTGGGTAGATAGGTGGGTCCTCCTGCTCCACAGTTCTGGAAAATCTAAAGGAAATTGTACAATCATAATCATAGTGTATGGTCATCTTTACACAAGTACATAGGAGGGAGTGGATGGGAGCTGTCAAGCCCCGTTCACATCTCTGTGTAGCATACGTTTTTTTTTTTTTTGTGGGGGGGGCGCTTTGGAGCATTTTTGCTTGCCATACATGGGCTGCCGTACGTGCAATAATCACCACAAAGAAGCTCCTGAATTTTTTTTAAGGGTTGAGTGTGGTGCTTTTCTTACTGTAATTTGTTCATGATGCTGTTTGTTCACTAATGTTCTCTAACAAACCTCTGAGGGCTTCACAGAACAGCTGTATTTATACTGAGATTAAATTACACACAGGTGGACTCTATTTACTAACTAGGTGACTTATGAAGGCAATTGGTTCCACTAGATTTTAGTTAGGGGTATCAGTGTAAAGGGGGCTGAATACCAATGCACACCACACTTTTCAGATGTTTATTTGTAAAAAAAATGTAGAAACCCATTTATCTTTTTCCTTCCACTTCACAATTATGTACCACTTTGTGTAGGTCTATCACATAAAATCCCAATAAAATCCCTTTATGTTTTTGGTTGTAACATAACAAAATTTGGAAAATATCAAGGGGTATGAATACTTTTTCAAGGCATTTTAAGTAGTATTGATGTAAAATCAGCATACGGTACATCGCTCACAGAGGTCAGTGTGAGGACATATTTCGGTATTCAGCAAAACACTTATATTTGCTAAGGGAACAATATGACTCCATCATCTGCATGATCCCAAGGCTGCAGAATAATTTTCATTTCACCATGAATACTGTACACACAGAACAATTGCTGGGCTACATTTCATATAACAGACTAAAAAACATTATACAATATGATGATGATGTAATCTGTATTTCAGTTAATTAACCCTTGGCAAATGTAAGATTTTGTTCCATGGGGTACTAATAATTGAAAAACATTTAAAAATGAAGGCAAATAAATTTTATTTACATACTTACATGAATTTAAAAACTCATTTGCTTTAATATATTTGCTTGATGGTCACTGTAAAAATGAAAGATGTATTTCATATAGTGTTTTAACCTCCTTAGCGGTTTTCCCGAGTGTAGCTCGGGGTAAAATTTGAGTACCAAGAGCGGTAACCCCGAGCTACACTCGGGCTTACCATGCGGCGTTGCTCAGGGGGTCCCTGCAGCACTTACCTTGTCCTTCACTCCCGCGATGTGTCCCCTGCAGCGTCCCCGGCCATCTCCTCCGGCTGATTCCGGCATCCGGCTTCCGTGTTCCAGTCCCTGTGACGTCGGGACGGCGGGGAATTTGAAATTTTTTAAAAATGACATTTTTACTGTCATTGCTGTTTCAATGCATTTCACATATATTTTGTCCCTACTGCTTTGTCCTGTGCCCTGCCTGCATTTTGACTGTTCTTTCTGCCTGGAAACTTAGAAAAGTCCATGGCGTCCAAGAAGCGTCCCTTTACGTCAAAAGCGGTTTTAGACCAGCGATAGTAAATCAGAACCACTTGCAGAATTTGAGTGATAATGATTCGTGGGGAAATTCGTCATCAGACACTGAAAACGATTTTGTGACTTTGCTCAGCGATGTGCGAATTTGCCTCTGTATTTCAAATTTCAGTGTTTTTGATTTGATTATATTATTGAATTAAATTTATTATTATATATATTATTATTTTTTATGATTATTTATTAAATTATAATTTATGATTTCATGTTTTAAGTTTTATCCTACCCGGGATGTTTACTAGACTCTTGTTCGGACAGATTTCAGTGAGTTATTCCTAAAAATTACAGCCTACAATAAAAAACTACATATTTCCATGTAAAAAAATGGTACCACTTTCAGCACAAAAAATCGGAAAGAATCATACCGCCGAGGAGGTTAAAAAAGGCCCCAGTCTGTTAGAATCCACAATATTCCATCCTCCTCCATCAACCTCAATCCCAGTTCCCCAGGGGATACATCTAGAGTCACTTAATGTGCAGGCAGTTGACCTACGATTGCTCAGTTAAGTATCTGATCAATCACATTGTGAAATTGGAAGATGTTGATTGGGACTCATCACTCATTGCAGTGAGTCCACATACAGGAAGGAAGTGGAGAATCTGGAAGTCTTGTGCAAAGCTAGCAATCAACGTAAAGAAGACAAAGGATAACTGTGCACTTTAGGAAGACTGGCACCCCTCCTCTGTACATCAGTTGTGAAGCTGTTGAGATGGCAATTTTTTTTACTTATTTGGTAGGGCACATGACCTCACCTGGGCAACCAATACAGCCAGCATAGTGAAAAAGGCCTATCAACTTATTGAGAAGATTGATGTGTGATGGCCTTGGTACTTCAGAACTCATCTCCTTTTATAAGTGTGCGGTGGAGAGCACCCTTACTTTTGGTGTTACTGTTTGGTTTGGTAATTACTCTGCTGTGGATAAACAGACACTGCAGTGAGCAGATTATTGGCAGCAATATGCCCACTATCAGAAATATTTACAACAGCAAGTATAGGAAGATGGCCCTCAATATAGTGAGGGATTTTTCCCATCCTGCTTATGGACCCTCCTTGCAACCTCAACACTAACTGAATCCTCACAACAACCCTCCCTGTAAGCTTAGCACCTTCAGAAAAGCTCAACCCAGACACTAATGATGGGTAAACACACTTGAAGGATCTTGGGCAGGAGGGTGCCAGCAACAGAGCAAATTTTCATCAGAACATGGCCAAAATTCACTCCGTATATGGCCACTTAACCCTAGCATTGTGCCTCAACCCCCTGGAAGCTTAACCTTCACTTTTTGCCTACTTAGAATCTTCATACATACATTGTACTCATATATAAAAGAAGAAACACTGCTTTTAACATTTAAAAAAACTGATTTGCAATGGTTGCATATTTGCCTTGGTTATGTACAAACAAAAAAAAAAAAACAACAGATAGCAAAAAGGTGCAAAGGCCTAGTGCATCTATAGCATGTTATTAGGAGGTAAGAGATACAAATTGCACTCACAAACCAAAATTGAATGGTAGCGTATCATAAAAGCAAAAACTAGAGGTCTATCTTCCAGCCTCATAGGACCAAACGGAACCAGCTGACTTGTTTTGGGGGACAGGCCCTCCTCCTCAGAACAAAGACCCAATGCAAAAGCTGGTTCTGTCATCTATTTGGTCCAATGAGGCTGGAGGGTGGACTTCTGGTTTCTGCATTTATGATACACTACCATTCAGTTTTGGTTTGTGAGTACATTTTGTATCTTTTATATTTTACTAAAGTGCTGTAGATAATGCACTAGGCGTTTGCGCTCTTTTGTTTTTTGTTGTTTGTACAGTTCAAGATTCCCAGATATGAGGAGGACAGCATCACCATATTCATCCAGTCACAGCTGCACAGTGGTCACTGCATTTGCACATCTTCTGTCTAGTTTCTCTGTGAATTCTGAGTTCTAAAGTGTCAGGTTTTAGTGTTCCATTGCATGCTTTGGTTATGTTTATACTGAGATATCGCTTAGAGGTACATATATTTTACACTGAATTATTCAAAAAGAGAAAACAAATTTTAAATACTAGTCTTACATTAGAGGATGGGTAACTGTCATTGAGGTCATTATGAGAAAAACACGTTAATGTCATGAGACCCTCTCCTAACCTGTCCAGTCTGCATGTGCCAAGTATAAGCACTCTGCTTTTGCAAAGCTGAAGGTTTTGTCTACTTTTTCCTTCAAGCTTTATCTCTACTAGGCCACATCTAAACCCACTGTGCTTTTTATTCTCTGATAAGGTCGTTATAAGATACAAAAGTGGGACATGGCCCAACATGACTTCCTTCCATCTGCTCCTGGCCTTGGAATGATTGTGACTGTTAAGGCTCCAAATAAAGAGGTAAATGCTATAATATACAGTAATTTTCACTTTGCTTTTTCACACGTGCTTTTATTTTACATAACTTGCTAAGGACTTCCACTTTGCGGGTCTGAAATATTTAATGTAAGGTAAAGACCCAATTTTAACAATACTGAGTACCAAAGAGGCAAGTATTTGTTTCAATTGACCTAATGGTAAGTTCCTATTGGAACGGGGAAAAATAATAAGGCATTCAGGCCAAAAAAGACTTACCAACCCATTTATAAAATGTGTGCAAAGTTTTACGAGTAAGCCTGACCTTGCCACCAAACTACCAAAGTCAAAGTGCATTTAATATATCTCTGGAATACATGCATATTTCTCCATGTTTTATTGCATAAAAAACACTGCAAGTAGAGAAAAATAACTGTTGATATGCAGGAATTATAGTGCTACTTTCCTCCCTGACCTGACAATACAGCTTTGAATTGCTAACCATGCGGCAGGGTGTAGATAAGGGGGGGGTCAGGTGGGTTCAATACCCCCCCCCATAGCGCCCTGTCCAAGTGGTGCTGCACCGCTTGTCAAGTGCTTGCTCTACCCTCAGCTACAGAGGAGACGGATGGAACTTCCTCCTACAGACCTGCTCACAGTACCTCGCCTACCAGCTTTCACATTTGGCTGTGAGGTGCACTGAGAACCAGAGTGGATTCTGCTGCAAGGGGGTAAAGAGCTTGATTTAATGTTGGGAAGGTGACTGGGGACCCAGATGTAAGGAAGGGGACTCTGGGGAGCCTGATGTAAGAAGGGGGAGCTGTATGGACCTTGATATAAGGAGGGGAGTTCTGGGGACCCTGAAGGAAAGGAGGGGGGGTTTGGGGACCCTGATGTAAGGAGGGGGGTTCTGGGGATCCTGAAATAAGTAAAAGGGCTCTGGGGACCCTGATGTAAGGAGGGGGAGCTTTGGGAACCCTGATGAAAGTAGGGGAATCTCTGGGGACCCTGATGTAAAATGGGTGTGACTCTGGGGATCCTTACATAGTTACATAGTTAGTCTGGCTGAAAAAAGACAAAAGTCTATCCAGTTCAACCATTAAAGAAAAAAAAAAAGTTCTAATCCTATACCCACAGTTGATCCAGAGGAAGGCAAAAAAACCCAGCAAACCATGATCCAATTTGCTCCTGCAGGGGAAAACATTTCTTCCTGATCCCCCGAGAGGCAATGGGATATTCCCTGGATAAACTTTACCTATTAATGTTAGTATCCAGTTATATTCTGTGTATCCAAGATGGAATCCAGGCCTTTTTTAAAGCAATCCACTGAGCTAGCCAGAACCAACTCTTGAGGGAGTCTATTCCACATTTTCACAGCTCTTACTGTGAAGAAACCTTTCCGTGTTTGGAGATTAAATTTCTTTTCCTCCAGACGTAAAGAGTACCCCTTGTCCTCTGTGATGACTTCAAGGTGAATAACTCTACACCGAGTTCACCATATGAACCACTTTATACATGTTGATCATATCCCCCCTTAATCTCCTCTTCTCATGAGAGAATAAATGCAGTTCCTCTAATAGTTCCTCATAGTGATCTCCTCCATGCCTCGTATCAGTTTGGTTGTCCTTCTCTGCACTTTCTCCAGCACCCAATGTTCTTATTGTGAATTGGTGCCCAAAACTGAACTGCATATTCCAGATGAGGTCTTACTAATAAGTGAAATTAGAGGAATGTGCTAAATGAACATATCACTAAATAAATAACAGAAAAAAAAAATGTGAAAAAGTGTTGATAAATAAATAAATAAATGTCCAAAAAATAAATGTCCAAAAAATATATCTCCAAAAAATATTTTGCAAATCAAATAGTGTCCACACCGTGTCAAATCCACCACCAAAGAAGTTTGATCACTCACCAGAACTCGATGCTGATCAACAATTGGACCAGCAAAAAACACTTTTGCTCTGGGAGCAGTAGATATCAATTAAGTTCTTGGATGCAATACTCTGCAAACAACTGATATCCTATAGGATGAGTCACCACCATTCAAAGCTATGGATAATTTCCAGGGGTATATATCATCTCTAAATCGTATATCTCCGTATCATTGGGACCATGTTCAAAGATAAAAGGAAGAGATCATAGTGCAACAAGCTTCAAATCATTTAAAAGCTTTAATGTATAAATAACACTCACATTTTAAGGTGTCTATGCTAACACCAGTTTCATGGGCATTGATTCAAGCAACAGTATGTAGGCACACCACCGTACACCACGGATCCTCTACTCGTAGACCCAGCGCTTATTCCCAGATGTCGGCATCCAGTAGGCCACGCCCTACGCGTTTCGTCACCAACGACGTCCTCACTTTTTTTTTTTCTGTTATTTATTTAGTGATATGTTCATTTAACGCATTCCTCTAATTTCTCTTATTTGGTCAAAAATTTATATGAGTTTTTTGAAGTGGGAATTTGCTGCTTTAGTTTTTTAGGGTGTGGCGCTTTTCTAACAATACTTTGAGGTCTTACTAATGATTTGTACAGGGGTAATATGATATCTCTCTCTCTGGAGTCTATACCTCTCTTAATACAAGAGAGGATTTTGCTCGCTTTAGAAACCGCAGCTTGGCATTGCATGCCATTATTAAGCTTCTGATCTACCAGAACCCCCAGATCCTTCTCCACCATTGATCCCCCCAGTTGTACCCCCCTAGTATGTATGATGCATGCATATTCTTAGCCCCCAAGTGCAGAACCTTACATTTATCAACATTAAACCTCATTTGCCACATAGTTGCCCAATTACACAGAGCATTGAGGTCGGCTTGTAAGTTGGAGACATCCTGTAAGGACGTTATTCCACTGCACAGCTTGGTGTCACCTGCAAAGACTGAAATGGGATTTTAATCCCTGACCCTATATTGTTTATAAATATATTAAAAAGTAAGGGTCCCAACACTGAACCTTGGGGAACAATGCAGAAGAGCTGAAGGCCGCTATTGAAGCATCCTGGTCTTCCATAACACCTCAGCAGTGCCACAGGCTGATAGCTTCCATGCTATGCCACATTGAGGCAGTAATTGCTGCAAAAGGGGCCCAAACCAAGAACTGAGTACATATGCATGCTTATACTTTTCAGAGGTCTGATATTGTTCCATATACAATCCTTGTTTTATTGATTGCATGTAATATTCTAATTTTCTGAGATTGTGGATTTGGGGGTTTTCATGAGCTGTAAGCCATAATCATCACAATTATGACAAATCACGGCTTGAACTATCTTGCTTTGCATGTAATGAGTCTATTTCATATATTAGTTTTACCTTTTAAGTTGCATTACTGAAATAAAAGAACTTTTGCACGATATTCTAATTTTTTGAGCTTCACCTGTAGGTTTTAAAATTTGTGCCCTTTAACTGTTCCTGCAGTACCATTACTCCAGTCAATTTCCATGTAGTTAAAATCCCCCATTATTATCACTGTCCCAGCCCTTGCAGCCCTTTCAATCTGTGGGAGGAGCTGAGTCTCCTCCTCCTCATTAACACTGGGAGGCATATAACAAACTCCAATGATTACCTTTGTAGTACGCACCCCCATGTGCAGTTCCACCCATAATACTTCAGCCTCATCACACTCTCCATCAACTAGATCCTCTTTCACACTCTCTCTGAGATCACTTCTCACATAGAGACAGACACCACCACCTTTCCTATTTACCCCGTCTCTCCGAAAGGGAACATAGCCAGGACTATTAATGGCCCAGTCATGTGAAAAATGAAGCCAAGACTCAGCAATACTAATTCCTGATGTAAGGAAGGGAGGAAAGGAGCACTGGGGACCCTGATGTAGAGTGGGGGTGACTTTGGGGATCCTGATGTAAGGAAGGAGGCTCTGGGGACCCTGATGTAATGGGGGTGTCTCTGGGGACCCCAATGTAAAGGGGCAGAGTTCTGGGGACCCTTTTGTAAGGGGGTGATTCTGGGGACCCATATGTTAGGTGGGGTGACTCTGGGGATCCTGATTTATTAACGGGGGGCTCTGGGGACCCTAATTTAACAATTTCAATACTGGGCATTTTTACCCCCTTCCTGCCCAGGCTGATTTTCAGCTTTCAGTGCCGTCACATTTTAAATGACAATTCCTTGGTCATGCAACACTGTACCCAAGCTAAATATTTATACTTTTGTTCAAACAACTAGAGCTTTCTTTTGGTGGTAGTTAATCACCAATATTTTTTTTTGTTTTTTGCTAAATAAATGAAAGACCAAAACTTTTGGAAAAAAACACATTTTTTCTTTGTTTCTTTTATAAAATTTAGCAAATAAATAATTGTTCTTCATATATTTAGGCCAAAATGTATTCTGCTAATTTCTTTAGTGAAAATAACCCAATTCTGTGTTTCTTAGTTATTTTTTAGTCACCAGTGCAGTACAACATCATCATATAACTGGTGTGGCAGTGATCAGGGACACTGACTGGTGACAGTATGAAAAAAAAATGTATCTTATTTTTTTACATTTTTTTTATGATTTTTTTTTTACACTTTGGTGAAACTAACTCAATTCTGTGTTTATTATTTAGTCTGTAGGAAAGTTTTAAAGTCCACAAACTATGGTATATATCTGAAAATCAATCAATCCTGATGTACTGATGGCAGTGATCTAATTTCTTGAGGCCCAAAAATGCCAGGACAGTACAGATATCCCCCAAATTACCCCTTTTTGGAAAGCAGACAGTCCAAGATATTTAGTAAGAGGCAAGAAGGCAGAAGATGTAATCTGTTGTCATAATTTCTTGGAAGATGAAGAAATTTTTTTTTACATTTTTTAGTCACCAGTGCTGTACAACATCATCATATAACTGGTGTGGCGGTGATCAGGGGCACTGACTGGTGACAGTATCTTATTTTTATTTATAAAAAAAACTGCAAGATGCAAAATCTCCTGCAGCTCTGCATAGAAACCAATCAGCTTCCTGATTTTTCATCAACACTTAATTGAACAAACTGAAGTTTGAAGCTGATTGGGTACCACAGCTGCACCAGAT